AATTTTACTTCTGTTATAGAAGAGATATTAATGCATAAGTTTTATTCTGTTAAGTAAAATCAACTGTCCTATAGATATACAGATCAATACCAGTGCCAGAATTCCGTGATTTCCCAGTATTAAGGACTTGAAATATCAAATCATTGACTTTGTATCAAAGAACCCATTTTAAAGGGTCATATTTTATGGACAAGAAATGTTTATAAGATGGTATGCCATAATTGACATTGAAGAGATGCCCAATTTTATCTTTGGACTAGACTTTAGATTTTTAGGTACAAGGTAAGTAGGGATATTTTAAGATAAGATAAATTAGATTTTTTTGTTTGGACTCTGTCCCTGGACAGAAATAAAACTTTTGGAAACATTTAAGAATATATTTCAGTATGTTGGGAATCACTAAATTATACTATATTGAAACATAGTACTTAACAGGTAATATAGTTTAAGCTTATATTCATAAACCTAAAAATATATTAAAGGCCATGTATATTTAAGGAATATGTTGTTTAAAGGAATATTAATATGGCAGTTTGCATAAAAATAATATGGTGTCCATTCCCATTTATCTTTATTTCTGAAGTTCTGTAAACTGTTAACAAGGTTTTACAGGTTTCTTGTTATAACCAGGAACCTTAATATTTTTAGATTTCATTTAGTTTGGTTGCTATATGAATAATATGATTAGGATTTCAAGGTGCATATATATACCTGGCCTCAGCTTTGTATTCAAAACCTCTAAGGTAACATATTCATGAGATTTTTTTTTAAAGTATATGTAAATTTTTACTTCAAGGCTGGTTTGAAGGTAGCTTCTAAATTTCATAAATTTAAAGGAATAAGTAAATAAAATGGGGAAGTTAAGTAATTTGTTCAAAAATAGTGAAAAGGTAAAAATCAAGGTGGCTCAGACCTGTAATCCTAGTTACTCAGAAGACTGAAATCTGCCAGCCCAGACAGAAAAGCCAATGAGATATCACCAGTTAGCCAGCAATCACTGGGAACTGGAAGTATGGCTCAAGTGGTAGAATATCAGCCTTGAACCAAAGAAAAAGCCAAGTGACAGTGTGAGGCCTTAAGTTAAAGCAGGTACAAAACAAAAACAAAACTCAACAAAAGGAATTCTGTGTATTTCCCAGTGTACCTTATCACAGCCAAATTGGAGTTATCTTCCTTGGCCTATTCTGGAAACAGTACTTTATGAACTTTTCAGTTTTATAGATAAAACTATTAGGATAGCACAACCATGTTTATTGCAGCATTGTTCACCATATGTGTGTGTGTGTGTGTGTGTGAGAGAGAGAGAGAGAGAGAGAGAGAGAGAGAGAGAGAGAGAGATAGTTAGAATGGATCCAAAGGATACAGTCTATGATATTGATTGAAGCACATTAAATGCAAAATGAAGTATGTGAGGAGAATAAAATAAATGATATATAGTTGGGCTGAATCTGGGGGTGTAGAGTTCTGTTATTATAGACTTACTAAACATCAGTTTCACCAGAGCTTTAGGAGAGGTAAAGTTGAATTAATATAAATGATTTATGAAGAAAAGCAAATGCGTGTACAAAATCCAAGATTTAATATAATATTGAAAATAACTTTCAATATTTTCCTTGAGCATTTTTAAGGTGGTAACTTATCTTTAGTTGGCAATTAGATACCTAGCTTCAGGTAGTATATATTATTATAGAAATACTACCCAGAAAGTACTAGGAATTACAGATAGCACCTAATTAACAAACACTTATAGATTTAAATTAGGAGTCTGTTAAGTTACTATGAAGCTCAGCACTTATCTCTATAGAATATTCAATAGCAATAGAAAACATGAGAATCTCTCTCTCTCTCTCTCTTTCTCTCTCTCTCTCTCTCACACACACACACACAAAGAAAGAAATGAGGCAATGTCTGACAAACTGGTAAGGAATTAAATACATATGAAATTATTACTTGGAAACCAGGGCCTGAATAAGATTGAAGGAAGAGATTTGTGTTTATTGTGCAGTGGAAATGTCACCAAGCATAAACACTGAATATAGGCCATTGGCACTCAATGAGACTACATGGGAGATCTTTTCAACTTTGTTTTCACTTCCCATTCATTCCTCTATGCTTACTGCTGGCATAAAGACATGGGAATGTTCAATGTTGAATACTACAAGAAAAACAGTACAAGAAGCTGATAGTTAACTCTCAGAATTCTAAGAGATGGTATTGAATGTTAGATATTGACATCTAGGCTGACTGCACATTTCATTGAGAAAGAATAAGTTTTAGTAAATAGAATAAAAAACAGAGATAGAGTTCACACAGTGTTCAAAAGTGGAAGTAATGAAAAAGAAATGTAAAAATGAGATTAAATCTGGATTACTTTAGAGCATGAATCATATAAAAGTTGAGTTTACTCTTCATCCTCTCTCCCTGGAAATCAAGATGTTATGATAATTGAAAATTTTCCTTATTTAGAATAGTAGAAGTTATTTATATTTATCATTTCATTTCAGAGAATATTTAAATCTATGTTTCTACAATTATGTACTTTTTCCCTAAGCAAAACACTTCACTAAAAACCATTCTAACAAAATTTAAAATCCCTTTAAAATGTGTGAATAAAAAGCATAATCATGTTCCATTGCATTTTTTCTGTTAAAGTGAAGTTCAAGCACCTAGTGTAATCCCTTTGCAAGTTTATATAATCAAACAAACAAACAAAAATTGAATGAGGAAAGACCTCTCTGTAGAATTTCGCATTCTGTTGCTTGGATTGATCTGAACTATTAGAACTACATGCCAACTGGTATCCAAGCCTCTCTTAAAATCTTCACAGCACAGCAAACAGACAGTTACCATGGTGTTGACTCCACAAAGACTTCATTGTGTAGAAATAACTGATTTACTTGGCAGAGCCTCTGGTCTAGAAGCATATTTAAAAGGTGGTTTTTTATTATCCTAAAATAGTCCTAGTATGAATTGAGTCCCTAGTTCTGTGTTTAAAATGTTGTATTTGTTCAAATAGATGCTTCATTAACCTAAACTCCTTGATAATGTAGACTTATGCCATTCCAATCTCTGCTTTTTTATTAAGTCTATACCATGTCTGGCATATTAGAGTATTTGTTATATATTTACTCACAGAAGAGTCATCTGACTTTTCACACACATACAGAAAAAGGAAGGAAGGAAGGAAGGAAGGAAGGAAGGAAGGAAGGAAGGAAGGAAGGAAGGAAGGAAAGGAAGGAAGAGAGAGACAGAGACAGAAGGAAGGAAGGAAAGAAAGAAAGAAAAGGAAAGAAAGAAAGGAAAGAAAGAAAGGAAAGAAAGAAAGAAAGAGGTTAGAAAGAAGTCTTAAAAGGGTAATATTGCAATTACAGTACACAGATAATAGAAAATTGGTAGACTTACATGGTGGAGATAAGAACACACTTAAAATGCAAGGTAGAAGCAACTTAAAATGAAGGAAAAGGAAAAGCCTAATGTCAGATAAGGACTAAGGAGGAGGTTGTATGCATAGGTCAGAGGGAATGTCTGGGCATAGACAGAAGAACAAAATCCTAACTATCCATTGTACTTGCCTCTGTAAAGTAGAAAAAAAAAGTCATGTTCTGAGAATTGGAGGAAGAAATGTCAATCTTTAAACAAAAACTTAAATAGTTCTTATTGTGAGTCAGAGATCAAAATAGAAAACTAAAAAGTATAGGATGTTGAGTTCATTTAAGGCTGTTTGAACATTGCCTTAGTTTTGATTACTCCTAAAAGTAGATCTGGAGACAAGGCTTTAAAATTTAGGTCCTAAGTGCAAGTAGTTTATTTGGAACATGATTGCAACAGGCAATTTAAGAATTATGCACCCAAAGAATGATGATGCATTTTCAGACATCAGGTTATTGCTGGGATAACTAGAGCTCAAATCAAATAGGAACCTCTGAGATGCCATGTTCTGCTTTATTTAATGCGTGTTAATTTCATCGGTAGGGTTTAAGTAATGTCCTCTAGTTTCATCAGTATTGTTACAATTTACAAATATTCACTTTATATTTAAAACTGTGCAATAGTACATTGAAGGGCTCTTAGGTTATTCCCGTATCTTGGCTATTCTCCTGAATAATCTGCTCAGCGTCAGTATTCCTTAGCTCCAAAGATTTCTGTTAAAAACACACAATGTTTTATAATAATAGACAAGACAAGCAGATATTACAGGAATTACCCACACCAAAATTCAGTAGCCTAATAGAGTAGTTATTTGCCATTTCTTAGCACTGTGCAATTTAAGTATTTCTTTGGTCTCTAATATGGCATCAGAACACTCATTGACTTAATTTAGCTGACGTTCAAATGGGCAAAGAAATCAAGGAAGGCTTTATTTATAAGAATGCTGCCTCTGCTCCTCCATGTAACCTCTACATGGACAGATGAAGCTTATTTAAAGCACAGCCACTTCACAGTCATGGGACTTATAACATAATTGCCTTCTCTGAGTGTATGTTCCAAGAAGACAAATTACACTGTGCTAGCACTTATCAAACCTTTATTTGAATGACTCCATTTGCCACAACAAGTTGCATGGTCAAACCCACAAATAATATATTTGAATACTATGTAAGAGTATAAATATCAGCATTATGGGTCAATTGGAGCCACCACCAGGAATTTTTAGTTTCTTGTAAATACTTTCCACAAAGAAAGAATCACCTTGGGAGGTAGTAATTTTTAAGGAGTACAGACATTCAGTCAGAGGATGTGTAATTGCATACAGGAAAGATTCTATAGATAATTTCTGCATTGAAGTGAATAAGATAGCCTTAATGATTACAGGACTCCAGATCAAAGCTGACTCCAAAGTTTGAGCCTATCAGGGAAATAGTGGTGTTATTAACAGTAATAGTAACATCAGGTAACAATCTCTGATTGGGAGGAGAATGATAAATGTGATAAATTGCTTTTCTTTCCATATAGGAGAAAAATATAATCAGGAAATAATGACTTTTGTTCTTTGCTCTTAGGTTGGATGTTGATATAACTGAACTTCACAGCTGGATTACTCGCTCAGAAGCTGTGTTGCAGAGTCCTGAATTTGCAATCTATCGGAAAGAAGGCAACTTCACAGACCTTAAAGAAAAAGTCAATGTAGGTTCTGCATTTAGACCTAGGCATTTCCCTAATTTGTGCTGCTTGTATATCCATGGCTATTATTAACTGATTCTATTAGAATTGATGAGATGAAAACAATGTGATATAATATTATTGAATATATAATTATATTACATATCCATCAAAATCAAACTTTAGCATATAAAATACCTTTCCTGATGCTGCAACCAGTAATCCTTTTCACAAATCATCTTTCATTTGTGTATCATTTAACTATAAATTAACAACTTGATACCAAGAACTCAATTGATTTTCCATCATATTCTGTTACTGAAGATTGAGTCTTAGGAAGCTTGTAGAACAAAAAAAAATAGAGTAAAATGGAGTATAACCAAATAGAGTAGAATCTTATGAATAAATACAAATGACCCTACTTATATATCATACATCACCAAAAAGTTACTCTTTCTAGTTATTGAAACCTTTCATAAAATACAACAGACATATATTCTAGGTAGAATGGATTAGAATACAAAATAGACAATTAGAAGTACAGAAAGCTATTTTTATAGTCAATGATACTTTATATATAAGATTTATATGCCTCATATGTTTAGGCATTACATTGTTAGTGGTAAAATATGCCCACTTTCCCTCAATATTTAAGTTAGCTTGCTTCTGTTTTAATTCCCTTATAAGATAATATAGTGTTGACCTTCTCAGTAGAGATTTTTTAAATTAATTTAATAAGAGCTGTTTAATCTTCAGGGAAATTACCAGGGCTTTGAATTTGTGGCTTCAACAATTATGAAACATTCATTTTGGTGTATAATTGATAACATTTTGTTAGAGAATTTCTACAAGGCAGAGTAAATATTGGAATCAGGCTATGGACACGTGATGATCAAATAATTTTAGTTATGAGAAAGTCACATGTAATATTATGAATAAGCTCTGCTTTATCATTCTAGCATTCATCACAAACCTTAAAATATATTTTACTACTATAAATACAACAATATCTGAAATATAACCATATGTTTGACTGTATAGTGGGATATTTTGCAGAGCAACAGCCAAAAATGATACTCTGTGAGAAAGTAATGTATTCTTTAGGCTACTCACAATAGAGACATAGTTCATACATAGTTCTTCTTAGAGTTGACTACTTACATTTATAAAATGGAAAGATTTTAAATTTATTGTAGTTTTATAAAATATATTGTTACTAGCATTATACAGTTTCAAAAGAGAAAATGTAATGTTTTAGTTCTAAAACAGAAAGATATATACAATAAATGCAAAATAAGTAAAATGTCTTCACAGAATATGTTTATTTGAAGGTTAAATCTATGTTATAATTTTGAGAGCAGTATTATAAGTAGATTATTACCTGGAAAAGATAAATTCTAATTAAGTTTCAAAGATCATATGATATATTCCAACACTGAAAGTGTGAGGTACAGTGGGCATTTCATTGGCTAATTATTTTTTTATTGATTTGATTTGTATATTTATCTGTTTGCCATTCTATTTTAAATCTTAAAACAGCTTTGGTCAAATGGTAAAATTGAGTCCCAGCAGTTTAGAAACATAAATTCAAAAATTTCTGTTATCTTGTGGTTACCTAGAAACAACTTACTTTTAATTAATAGTGTCAACACAACAGACTGAAAGTGCTAAAAATGGTACCACATTGTATACATGGTTTTCTGATACCTGTGAGTCACCTTTATCAACTTGAACTCACATTTTCTGGAATAACAGCATCATCCTTAATTGCCTACTAAAATAGGACATGAAATGATTTAGTGAGGCATTTCTTTCTTGCTAAATATAATGTATATGTATTAAAATCCTTGAGAGAAATGCATAGTAATGATGATGGATATGCAGTTCAGGTGTACATTAATGTTCTTAACTTCCCATCTGTCAGTTTGTGTAAGCTATTTTGAACTCATGGGAGGCCCATCTCATGAACTTGAGTGGTATTAATTCATCTTTAGGTCTCCATTAAAAATGGCTAATGACTAAATGTTACCAACTCTTTTCTTCTTCACTTGATTTCTTTATTTCTGTCTTTAGAGTATGTATCGCCAGTAATAATATTGGTAGATCATTGATAAGTTCGGTTTCTTCTATTTTCAAATATGAAACTTTTAAACTCAAACACATTTTTTCTTTCTCTGTTGCCCATATGGTTTTATTCATATACTGAACAAAATATACTAGCTTAAAGGTACAACTCTAGGGGAAATTTCTATTTGAAGTATGGTCCCTAGACAAAAAATAATGACATTATGTGGGAGCTTGTTTGAGATGAAAACTTTCAGACTGAGTGAACTGGATTCTATATCTGAACAAGCTCCACATATTATTTGTATACATATAGAGATTTGATTATCACAATTTTAAGACATAGTTTTTGGTTGTCACCATAATTCTTAACTGGTTCATCTTTTGTTCTATACAGGTCATCAATAGCTTACAAATATTTAGCTGAATTAACAGATCCTAGTTACTCAAATTTTTGAAAATAGCATGTGCTAATGTAAAGTAGTAGTAACAACAAAAACTTAACCTGTTCTACCTATTGATGTAATAAGCTGACTGAGAATCAGGAACTGTACAAAATTCTATTAAAGTCTTCTTATCAAGCTATTAGGATCGACAGGTTGGACTTTTCTGGGATCTATGCTTGTTTATGTATATACCAATTCAACATTCTTTTTTTGGTGATAAAGATGTTTGAACTTGGTGCCTCTCATATGTATAAGGCAGATTATTTACCACCTGAGTCACACGTTTTCCTCTGGTTAGTTTTAGATTTTTGGGGCTTGGGTGTTGTCCCTGTGCTGTTCAGCTCAAGGCGAGCACTCTACCACTTGAGCCACAGCACCACTTCCGGTTTGCTGGTGGTTAATTGGAGGTAAGAGTCTCACAGTCATTCCTGACAGGGCTGGCATTGAAGCACAATCCTCAGATTTCAGCCTCCTGAGTAGCTAGGATTACAGACATGAGCCACTGGTGCCCAGATAATTTTAGTTTATATATATATATATATATATATATATATATATATGGTAAAAATGTTGTACAGAGGGTTACTTTTACATGAGTATGGTAGTGAGTACATTTTGTAGCAAGCATTGTTACCTCCACCTTTGTTTTCCCCCTACCATCACTTCCCTCCCCACCTCCCCAAATCCTCCTGCCCCCCCCCAACATTGTAAAATTTGTTTTCAACATAGTGTCCTGTACATCTCATTGTCACAATGAGTCAGCCTGTATCCACATTTAAGCGTTCCCCAATATCCCTTCTGCTCCACAAATTGTAAAAATGTATATTCAAGGTGCAGAACACTGGCATCAAGTCCAGTGAGAACAGGGGTTTTACTGTGGGTGAAAAACATAAAAGAATCACATAGTGCATTGTAAGTACATTAAAAACACTAGGCAGAAAGAAAAAAAAACACTTGTATCCCTGTCTTGGGGTATATTTTGCTTAACATTATCTCATGTGGTCATATGTACATAGCCTTTGACCTTCTCTGCTTGTCCTAGACATGTACTAGTCATTACAAACAAGGGAAACCATGGGACCTATGTTTCTTTGGGCCTGGCTTAATTCACTTAATATATTTTTTTCCAAGTCTTTCCATTTTCTAACAAATGAGGCAATGCCATTCTTTCTTATGGAGGCATAGAACTCCATTATATATATAGCACTTTTCCTTGATCCATTCATCTACTGAGGGGCATCTGGGTTGGTTCCATATCTTAGATATGGTCAATAATACTGTCATAAACATGGTTGTGCTGGTAGCTTTGGTATGACCTTGTTGGTGATCATTTGGGTAAATGCCCAAAAGTAGGACTGCTGGGTCAAAAGGGAGCTCTATGTGGAGTCTTTTGAGGAAGCTCCATACTGCTTTCCAGAGTAGTAGAACAAATTTACACTCCCACCACAATGCAGTAGGGTTCCCTTTTGACCACATCCCCTCCAGCATCTGTTGTTACTATATTTCTTGATTATAGCCATTCTAACTGGGGTGAGGTGGAATCTCAAGGTTGCCTTGATTTGCATTTCTTTTATGGCTAGAGAAGTTAAGCATTTCTTCATGTGTCTATTGGCCATTCTTATTTCCTCCTCAGAGAAGTCTCTCTTTATGTCTTTAGCCCGTTTATTAATCGGGCAGTTGTTTTTTTCAGGATTTGTTGTTGGGGGATTTAGTTTTTTGGGTTCTAAGTATATTTTAGATATGAGACCCTGGTCTGTTGTATGGCAAGTGAAGATCTTCTCCCAATCCATGGGCTTTTGTTGATCCTGCTAGCTATGTCAGTTACTTGAGCTGATGGGAAACTTTGGCAAAGTAGCAGGGTATAAAATTAACCCTCAGAAATCAATGGCTTTCTTGTACGCTAATAATGAAAGAGTGTGGCTGAAATTAGGAAAGCAACCCCTTTTGTAATAGTCCCACAAAAAATAAAATACTTAGGAATTAACTTAACAAGGAGGTGAAGGACCTGTATGACGAAAACTTTAAAAACCTGAAAAGAAAATTAAAGCAGAACTAAGTAAATAGAAAAACGTCCCATGCTCCTGGATTGGGAGGATTAACATTGTGAAAATGGCAGTACTGCAAAGGCTATCTACAAATTCAATGTGATAACTATCAATATCCCCACCTCATTCTTCAATGAAATAGAAATAGAAGAAGCAATCCAAAAATTCATATGGAACATATGTAAAAAGAACAGCACTGGAGGAATATCAATTCCAAATTTCAAGCTCTACTACAAAGCTGTAGTAATCAAAACAGCTTGATACTAGCACAAGAACAGACCTGAGGACCAGTGGAATAGGACTGAAGACCCAGAAATGAACCCACAGACCTATAGCCACCTAATCTTTCACAAGGGAGCTAAAGAAATAGAATGGAAGAAAGACAGCCTCTTCAGTAAATGGTGATGGCAAAATGGGTTAATCACTTGTAGAAAATTAAAGCTAGATCTGTATCTATCACCCTGCACCA